ACAATATTGCATTTTCAGTTTATAATGCATGCAATTTCATTTATGCATTTATCTCGATATTAAGGAGCATATTTTATTTTTGAAGGACATTAACTTTTTTGCTGTTTGCCTGTTGAAAATGTTTTCCCTTTAAATAAATGACAGAGCCATAAGAAAATATTGCTTCATTCATTTAATCATTAAATAATATACGATGCACTGTGTTAGGTCTTGGTTCAATAGGTTATGTGCAATCATTTTAATATGTTTTAATAAAAATTGAACCAGTCCGGCCCTCGGCTTGTAGCAAATTGTTTTTTTTGGCCCTCTGATGCATTTGACTTTGACACCCCTGCTCCAGAGGGACCTTTCTCTCCCACACACACATTTGCTAGCGCTTGAACACTTTGTACGTGATAGGCTAAGGGGCGGGACATCTCTCAGCGGTTGACCAATCATATATTGCATGCATGTTTAATTTATCTGAAAATGTGTTCCCACAAATGTTCAAGCCATTTTCACTGGCAAAGAATTCCAGCAGACCCTGGCTCTGTATATGACTGTTTTCTGTTTCATATTTGTTTTTGCTTAGTTCACTTGGGCCATCATATGGTCTATTTGATATGTCCTCATTGTGTTGAGCCTGCCTCTCTGCACTCCTCCAGTTGAGTCGTATGAATGGAGGAGGCCCGTCTTCGCCTCAGTCCTCCTCACACCCGGGCGCTGGAGTCTCGGGGCGAGTAGCGGCGGTCTGCCCCTACATCCAGGTTCCAGCAGAGGGGAGGCAGGAGGCGGGGTACCCCATGCCTGCAGACCCCCCAGCCAAACCAACCCCCCTCAGCCACATTCGCTCCCTCTCAGGTTGGTGCCATTTCTGCTTTAGATCAACTTGTTTGACTTTTTTATATCTCTTTCTGGGCTCTAACTTGCTTTCTATTTCCTTTTCCTGTTTGTTGGCTCCTTTTCATCCTCCTTCCCTTTTCTGTTGTTGTTCTCTTAAATGTGTTAATGTTATTGGTGATGTCACTTGTTGTTGTGGTGGTGCTTGCTTGTGGTTCCTGTGATGTCATCGTGATGATGTCCATGTTGTTTTGGTGGTTGTTATTTCGTGGTGTGTGTGTGGCCGTGCAGAGGAGGACAGGAGTGGCATCAGGAAGCCTCCCAGCCAATGGAAAGTGTCAGATTTAGACATCGTTCTGTCAGAGCCCACTGAGACGCATGAGGGGCCTGGGTCCCCTCAGGGGGGCTACAGTATCAACAGTGAGTCCCTTCAGAGCACTAGAGGAAGATACTCACCTCAATAGGGCTGTGCAGTATTCTTTTCATGTATTTGTGTTGGCCGACCTAGAATTTAGCATCTATAAGGCTCCCTTGACAAAAAGCAACGGGGTTTTTTCAATGGTGTTAGGAATATTGCAGATTTGTGATACTTACACATTTTGTTCGTCAGAATAAGCTCCACATATCAACATTACTTTTACATTTGTTTCGTTAGCAAGGGGCTAGATAATAATGGCTTTAAGAAATGCAAAAGCTTTGTACATCTACCAGTGTGTATTAACTGACGTATTTAAAACAAAATCTCTGTCAGGACTCTTTCCTGCACCACTCTATTGAGGGTAGATCAATTTCAAAAGAGAATGGTTCTCAATTTGACTCCTGGGCTGGAAAACAATCGAAGGGTGCATATAAACCAAGAATGCTGAGGAGTGTTTTTGTCTTACTATACAGCACAGATGGTTAGGAAAACATAATGAATGGGCTACAGAAATGACCTAAAAAATGAAAGGGTCATGTGTATAAGGACACAGACATGACATCTGATTGTCAGCAGCTGCTCAGGGTAAGGAAACACAGCATAGGAAAATAATCTGAGGAGACACAAAGCAAGCCTGGGCAGGGGTGAATAGCAGCTATAGACTCGTGTTGCCATCCCTATGCTAAGCCAAGCTAACCGTTGTGTGGCTAATCTTAATAGTTAATGTAGAGACAGTGTAGAGATTGGTATCAAGCTTCTCTGCCTGCAAGAAACTGAGTCTTTTGGAAGTCGACCTTTAACACAGAAAATTATATTTGTATCCATAAAGATAGAGTAAGCCTAAAAAACAAACATAGAGTGGTGCAGGAATGAGTCCTAAAACCCAGTCATGAGTCCGGTTCCTTCATCTCGAAGTCAACCATTTTTGGAAGACACTTTTGTTTTAAAGACGCCTGAAATAAGATCGGTAGTTAACAAAACTTAAGTAAAAAAATTGTGGTGGCTGTGAAGTGCTGGCGTTTTTATTTCTGACAATGGTTTTTAAGCTATACAAATCAAAAGGATTGTTATTAATATATGGAGATTATCCTGCTGAACAAAATGTGTGAGTATCAGCAATGTGTATTGGTCACAGATCTTATTTTTACTGCAATATTCCAAAATCTAAAGGAAAGAACCCATTGTTTTTGCAACGCTAACATCCTGGTCGGCCTACAGAAACACGTCATCAGTGCACCTCTGTAATGTAAATCATGCCATTCTAATGCTGCAGTATGCCCGTCAGACACTTGCCTATAGTAACATGTCAGCACACCCTGAAACCCTTTCTACTCACTCTGTTTAACTAATCAAGTGTCTTGAATGTGCACTGACACAAATCCCATTGTGCCCTTGAATGCCAAAGCAAATGCCACAGCCTAAATAGCATGGAAAACACACAGTTGTAAATCATGTTACAGTTTTTCTCAATCGCTAAACCCACTTTTTAGAATCTAAATTCATTTCTTCAAAACAAGAGCATAGCCATCTAAACAGAAACACACTTGCCATAACTCTGAATATCTTTTGCAAAATGCACTTACATGACCAAAACTGAAAATACTGGTCACAAAAAAGAATAAGTCGATCGAAACAGAACAAATTGTCCTCTAATGAGACAAATGTGTTTTCATAACTGAAACTCCGGTCACCATAATAACCCATTCTACCATAACAATATACATTTCTTGCAAAGTGCTCTAAGGCACTCAAAACTAAAAATACCCCTTCCAAAACCAGATACCTTCTCCAAAAACAAACATTTGTCAGCTCATGAGAAGACTATTTGAACAGTCATTACTAAGTGGCACACTAAATACTGACTACAATCATCAATACACAAACCTCAAGCTATCGATATTGGAAACTGAACGGAAAACTGACAAGTTGGGAGAAACAAACTTACATATAGGAAAAACAGAGTCTTACTGTAACTATGCCATTGTTTTTATTGTCTCATTTTCAGAAGAGCACCGTAACAGAAACAAAAGACGAATAGCAATACACT